AAGAGTCCAAAGAGTCAGATGAACATCCAGCTGAAATAAAATGTTCATTGAAATGGTCCAACATGACCAATTTATCAGTCAAATGTACACCCGCTTTAACCAAAAAACATGGCAACTCATTCGTTGGTATCGAGTTCATAGTAGATTTTACAGTCCTCCAAAACATCTTAGGATCATTTATACTCTTTGATATTTCAGCAAGATAAAATTCAGACTTTGACCTCCTTACCAAGAGTGTACATTTATTTCGTAGCTGTCTAAAATGAAGCCAATCTCCTTCAGTTCCACTCTTTCAGACACTCAACTGTGTCAACCAACTTGTATATATAAAAAAACCAAAAAAACACCACCAGTAGGATCTTAGTTGTGGTTGTTCTCTCTGCTGCCTAAGCCACAAAAACAAACTCTAATTTACCTGCTTGAACCGTCTGCCTCTGCATTTGCAATCTAATCTTCACCAGATCCACTGGGGCTCCCAGGCCCACTGACACCAGTCCAGTCAGCATACTGGCCACAATCAGGTCCAGCATGCCACAGGGATGCCACCCGTCACCATAGCGATACTTGCTTATGAGTCTCTGAGTGTTACTGAAAAAGCCAAACACCACTGAGTTGTATACAGCGATGCTGGCCAGTGGGAAAGACATGCCTTTAAAGAACCCCATGGCCTGAGAAAGAGAAAGAAAAAGACAAGAATTAAGGACAGTCACTATCATTTCAATGTGACTTTTAATCCAAAAGAGAACTAAAGCACTGCATTGAACAGTACAAGTTTAAAACTCAAGAGTGCACTTTTGAATGTTAGCCTGTGCCAACAATGCACAGAATGAAAAATGGGGTGAAGTTGCTGCCCAATATTTTGAGTTGCTCCTTTGTGGAAAGTATTCCCTTCTGCAGGGGTTTAGGAGACATGTTCAAACCTAAACACAGCTGTTCACGCCTGCACACATCATCTGACCACTGAGAAAGTAGACCTGTGGTTTCTGTTATCTGCAGTCACAAGATACAAAACTTTGTTTAAACCACAGAGATGTGTAACCTTTAGGGCTGAACCCGATATCCAAGTATTCATTGTGTAGGTAATCTGTTTTCAATTTTACATTATAAATCAAAAACTAGAATAACTTTAATATGAGTTAAAGGACAGGTGCAGAAATGTTAGGCAGCAACACAAGTTACTGAGATGAGAAAAAAGAATTACAAAACTCAATACACAGGTAAAAGATACAGTTGTTCAGTATACCTTCCCACTGCACTGGATGCTCCTGGTACACTAGGGTATATGCTTATTTAAGCTCACAGTATTTGCTACTGGACAGACATGATAAACTTAAGACAGACACCAAACTGAACTCAACAAGAATAAGTGCTGACCTGAGTGTAACAAGGTGACATAAAAGGGATCAAGGTCTTCACTTGAGGAGGTGATTATATAATCACACTGTTTTAAGGCCAAAAAGTGACTGCAGACTGACAGGTCAAAGAAATCTGAATGGTTACCGTTTCCTTCTTGTAGATGGTGAGGATGCAGTGTAATGTGTTCTTGTAGCCTTTTCCTGCCTGGAGCCGTGTCTAAAGGATACAAAGCCTGAGGGTCAATACAAAATCCAATAAAATGGGACAGATTAGAAAGCTAACACCTTGTCCTCTTTTGTAGCTGCCTCTGTTCCATTAGCATCAGCCCAACAAAATATTTTCTTATAAATCTCTGAATGATTTCATCCCTCTTTCTCAAAGACCCAAACACATTCTTGGGCTTTTTCTGACAAAGCTAGAGGATAAAACAGGAGGTTCTACAGAGGAATCATCGAGTCTGTCCTCTG